GCTACGCCAGGGAGCAAGAGAGGCTGCCCAGCCGGGGTAAGTCTCACTTCACCTCTGTCCGGGGCTGCGGCGACGGAGTGGGACGGTGGGACGAGTAGAGTTCGGTCCTCGAGACGGGAGGCCCGGAGGTCGGGAGCCCCGGGCGGCGCGGGGAGGCTCGCCCGGCCTGGACCGGCTTGGAGCACGTGAAGAGCGGAGGAGGAAACCCTTCCGAGAAGGCGGGTTCGGATGCAGATGCCCTCGAAATGAGTTTTTTGGAGTTTTTGTTTCAAAACATAGTGTGAATTTCATTCCGACAGGTATTTTTATGAAAATGTTTAGAGTTCTGTGAGACAGGTCAAGTTTCTTCCCTTTTCCTTTCCCTTAGCTGTGCCAGTGACACCACCATCCACCCAAATGACTCCAGGAGGAAAGAAAAGCAAAACTCAAGGACAGCTCTTGATTTGTTTCCCTTACCTCGCGTCCCCTAGCGCACCAGTAAATTCTGAAGGTTCCCAGCCAGCGTGGTAGCACACGCCAGCAATCCCAGCACTCTGGAGAATGGGTTCGCAAGTTCGAACCCAGCTTTGGTGCCTTAAAAATACCTGGCTTAAAAGTAAAAATAAAAGGAGTGGGGTGCTGGGAATGTTCTGAGCAAAGGCCCTGAGTTCACTCTCCAGTACCGAGGGGCGGCGGACTGATTCTTTATCTTCTTTCCCTGAGTTTCATCTCCAACCCCCCAAAAAACCATTTCCTTTTCTTGGATTATTAAATTGCTGAATAAGGCTTTCTGGTTTTACTTGTTTTCTCTCCGAATCCATTCTCCAGAGTAATCTTTTGGCCTGAGCTAGAGCTCGCTTTGCCTTTGTTTGAAACCGGGTAATGGTTCCCGCTTTCTGGAAACCGAGGCAAAGGTCCCCCGGCGCTCTGCCCTCCCGGCTTCCGTCCTCCACGCTGGCAGCGATCATGGCCGCCGCCCTCCGCCATGCTTGTCCCCCTGGCTGCGTCCTGGAAAATCTCTCGTGCTCTGATTTTTTTCCCCCCTGAAACTATTTACCATGTAGGATCTTCCCCACACCAACAGAAGTGAAGTTCTGTGATAACCATGAGCTTTTCACTGCTATGTTCACTCTATAAAACATTGTTGATTACTAAATATTGGCCAGATAACAATAAATAAATGCATCCCGTGAAGTACTTCTATTCAGTTTGAGAGGTATAAAGTGGGATTAATCCCTCGTGCTTCTCTTTGTGTGTGTGTGTGTGTGTGTGTGTGTGTGTGTGTGTAAGAGGATACTGGGGATTGGACCCAAGGTGTTCACAGAGCTACATTCCCAGGCCCTTTTTTTTGTTGGAGACAAAGTCTTGAAAAGTTGCCCAGGCTGTTTTCAAACTTATAATGCTCCTGCCCCATCCTCCCAGACAGCTGAAATTAAAAGCATGTGCACAACACACAGCTGATGATATTTAATATTCAGATTTTTGTCTTCAAGTCATGTTTAACCAGTAAATGCATGTAGTTATAAGTTGATACATTACCATTTCAGTTTCATATGTAATTCTCATAAGTTTACGTATTGTAAAAAAATTTGCATGTTAAGAGAGCTGACAAACAATCTATCCCAGAAATAAGGTGTACACATGGACCTCTGTAAATTCATTAAATCTCCCCCCCACCTTCTCTTAGGAGGTGTCTTTCTAGATAACACCTTACAACTTTGTGAAATTTCTGAATTAAGTATGTCTAAAGCTCTGAATACGTTCCTAAGAAAATATTGTTCCATGATTGCTAAATCAGAAAACACTAGCACAATAACTAATGTGTGCGTCCACTCATTTCCTTAGACAAACGTGCTAACTACTGGGACATGTGGTGAAAAAGACCCACAAGACTACTCTCATGGAGCTCATAGCCTAGCAGCTAAGACACACTTTAAATAAACCATACCAGCAGCTCTGACTGATACAGAAATACGGAGCTGGGGGGAAATTTAGCTCAGACTTAATTGAGCTGAAGAGTCAGTCTGGGCTTGGTGGATTTCTGTAATCCCCATACTCTGGTAGGATGAGGCAGAAGGATCACGAGTTAAAGCCCAGCCTGGGTAACTCGGCAAGACCCTATCTCAAAATTTGTTAAAGGGTTGGGAATAGAGCTCAGTGTTGGGTTTCATCCCTAGGACAAAAAGAAAAGTCAAGAAAGCCCTGGAAAGTGCTATGTGAGCAGAAATCTGAAGTGTAGATGGGAAATTGTGTGTGTGTACACTTACAGGGCAGTAAGGACAAGTGGGTAGCGTGCACAAGGGACAGAGCTAGTATGGCTGAATAGAGCTGGAGGCGGTGAGAGATATGCTTATAGAAAAAAGCCAGAAGAAAATCACACTGCAGTTGTTTTACTTGTTTGTTTTTGGGGTTTTTTGTTGTTGTTGGCTTTTTTGTTTGTTTGTTTTTTGGGGTTTTTTTGTTTTTTGTTTTTGAGACAAAGTCTCACTATGTAGTTTAGACTGACCTGGAACTCACTATGTAGTCCAGGCTGGTCTCAAACTCACAGCAATCCTCCTGCCTCAGCCTCCTGAGTGCTGGAATTACAGGTGTGCGCCACCACACCCGGCATACTGCAGTTGTTTTAAACAAACTAGCTGAAGGAAAGGGGCTTTTGTGCTTGATCCTAGTAATTATGCTCCCAAGGTGAGAAAATTTTGTTTGTCAAATATTTCTGCATAGTCTCCTGGGTTTGTTTCTCTTTTTTTAAGGACTGTAATAAACTAACATGTTTTAACAGTTTTACAAACTCTTCTTAGTTGAGACATGTTTTGTTTCTAGTCTATATTTATTGCCCAAAGTGAGTGGCATGATTCTTTTGAGATGCTCTTTTTTAATGTGGCTTTTTAAAGGTATTTTCAATCTGTTAATTTTCACCCCACCAATTTCACATTTGACCTTGTTTAAAAAGCATTTAATTTTTGGTTCCTACAGCAGTACATCAGAACAATAAATAAAGAGATCTTTTATCAGGCACACAATTATGTACAAAAAAGGCTCTTAGAAAAAGCAGCAGTAACATATTCATGCTATGACTTTTAAATGGTCTTGTTTTTATTTTTCTGTAGTACAGGAGATTAAACCCAGAACCTTCACACTAAGCCATGTCCCGGCCTTTTTTTATTTTTAATTTTGAGACAGATCCTCACTAAACTGTCAAGCTGGGCTCACACTTAACAATCCTCCTGCCTCAGCCTCCCAAAGTGCTGGGGTTAGGGGTATGCCCCGCCTTGATTTAAATTGTAAGGAAATGGTGAGGATCTTTTGGGCTAAATTACCCTGCCCATTTATTGAATGCTGCAGATTTCACTTATTGAGTCTTATTCTCTGTATTACTGCCTTCTAGAACAATGGACAGGCAAACCCCAGCCCACAGGTGAAATCCAGCCTGTCTCTGTTTTATTCTAACAAAGCCGACCTCATACCTTCGTGCATCATCCATGACCGCTTCCTGCCTCGGCTGCAGTGCTCACTACTGTCAGCAGTGCTCAGAGGATCTGCAGAGTTTAACTCTGGCCCTCTGTGCAGACAAAGTTGTCATTCTCTGTCTAGTGAAGTAGCAGGATCCAGTGCACACCTGCAGAATGAATAAAAATAATAAAATAACACCATTGGTATAAGTGTTGAGCTTTGCTGAATCCAGTGAAAACAGGAATGTGTTAACTTTTTCACCTGCTTCAAGTTTTTTAATCAGATGCCACTAGCTACCTCAGTAATGGTTTGCCTGAGTGTCTATTTAAAGTTACAAGCTTCTGCTCTCTGGCATCCCCTGTGCTTACTCTACAGCGCTTGCCTTCGAAGTTGGACACGCATAACTTCCTTATTTTATGTGCTCGTGAATCAGAAGCATAGCTTGTTTTGCAGAGTGTAGCCTACAGTAGGGATGGTACCGTGGCAGTGCCCAGTAAGTATTAGGTGATGAGTCAGGTGTGGTAACTTGTGTGTATACCCGTGAAATACCTGACATTGATCCGTGTCTTATCCCAGCGTTCATTTTCCTTTTCTCTTGGGGAATTGATCGGAGAATATGTAAATGTAGCCATTTTGTTATTGGAACGTGTGTTCTAAACCATTTTTTGGTCATTTTCTGACAGTGGCTCTGCTGCGGTTATTATCACAAAGCACGTGTGTGTTGAAGACAACTTAGATCACTGCTACCTGGGAGTTCCTGGTAATCCTGGTGCGAACCTTCAAGAAGGCAGCAGGCAGAAAGACATGAACCAGCAGATGAAGAGAAGGGCTGGGACGAGAGGCCAGGGCGGACGAGCGCCCGCGGGAGCTAAACCAAGGCCACACCAGGTCACCCAGGGCCCCGCGGCAGCAATGGAGCCTCTCTGTGCAACCTGGGCCCCGCGTGACAAAGGTGCCTGCCCTGAACCGAGTCCCCAAGACAGTGGAGACAAAGATTTCCCCGACTGCTACATAGAATGCATCATAACAGGTCAGTTTTCCGAACCCATCCTGGAAGAAGATTTACTCTTTAGCTCCTTCAAAGAGCTAAGCGAAGATTCAGAAGAAAGCCTTTCTCAACAGGTTTTTGCAGCCAGCTCCCTCATTGGGTGTTCTTGGGAATACATGAAAAGTGGAGCGAAACAAAAGCCGCCGCCACAGATGGGGTATTCGGAGTACCTGACGGGCAAGAAGTTTCCTGCTGGAGGAATTCCTGGCCTTGACCTGGCGGACCCTAAACAGCTCAGCGAATTTGCTACAAAGAGGAGCCCCCACAGTCAAGACCAGGGCGCTCCAAATACATTGGATTGTCCCCACAGTGGATGCACAAGGAAGCTGAGGGACAAAACCGCCCTGCGGAAGCACCTGGTGGTGCACCGGCCCCGAGACCACGTGTGCGCGGAGTGCGGGCGCGCGTTCTCCGAGCGCTCCAAGCTCGCCCGGCACTTCCTGGTGCACACGGGCGAGAAGCCCTTCCGGTGCACCTTCGCCGGCTGCGGGAAGCGCTTCTCCCTCGACTTCAACCTGCGCACACACGTGCGCATCCACACCGGGGAGAAGCGCTTCGCGTGTCCCTTCCAGGGCTGCGACAAGAGGTTTGTGCAGTCCAACAACCTCAAAACCCACATTGTAACTCACGCCAAGATGAGAAATAAACACTGAAAGCAGACACGGACGGGGTCGTCCGACAGGATGAGCAGGACGAGCATAAGCAGTGATCGGAGAAGCACTGCAGCGGTAACAGGCGCATTTTCAGCTTTGCTCGTTGCTCCATACCTTGTGATACCATTTTAAGAACGTCGCCAACGGAAAGGTCAGGAATAAATTTACTGGAAAAGTAGTAGTATGTATTAGATTATTGGTTATCATACTAATTTTCAAGTGCTATCCACATGAAAGTAATTTTGTAATTTCTAACAGTGTGGCTTTCACCTTTTAAAAACGTACTTTTTGAAAGGTGTAGGGGAAGTGGGAAGGGTAGGGGAAAGGAAATAAGGGACAAGAAAAAAATAAGAGAAAAGGAAAAAAATGGAAACAAACTCTTTGTAAATAGGGGAGGTTGGAGGGGATGAAGGGAGAGCAGGGGGTACGGGGGAAACAGTAAGAACCAAGATTTGCCATGTAAAGGTACAAGATCCCAATGGTGAATGTATAACTACTGTGTACCTAAGAAGTACCAGTAAACTTAATAAGATTAAAAAATAATAAGAATTAAAATGCTAAATGCCATCAGTCAGAAAACAACATCAAATTGTAACATCACCTATTTCCAGGACAAAAATTGAGCAGCATGACATTGATTCTACAATTTAATATTGCATTGTCTATATGCCATTAAATTATTTTTTCAAGTTAAATAAATTTTTAAAAATGTACTTTTTTGGAACGGGATTATCTCAGAGATTGAGTATTTTGCATTAGATAAATGGTCAATCAATGAATAGTTAATTTTTCTTTTGATCACTATCAAATTATATTGAAATAATACAATTTGTTGTGAATGGTTGATACTGTTAATCCATTTGAATTTATTCTAGAATTTCAAAATAAAATGACATAAAACCCTAAAGTATGTTAAATCTGGATTCTGAAAATCAAATTATCCGGGGCTGGGATTTAGCTTAGTGGCACTGTGCCTGAGCACAAGGTCCTGAGTTCGAACCCCAATACCCCAAAAAAAGAAAAAATCAAATTATGCATTAAAAAGATGCACTTTTTTTTAATTTATTTTTAAAAATTAGCAAAACATTGCAAAGGCTGATGGTCAGTATTAAGACATGGAGGATAAGTTTATTATACATGGTGGGTTAGAATACACATGTGACAGCCATTTTGGAAGATTTACAGAAAGTGCCTGATTAGTTTCTTACAGCTGCCATGGAGTGACACAAACTGGTGGCTTAAATAACGGAAAATGATTATCTCAGTTCCCGAGGTGGTTTGGCAAAAAACAAGGGGTTGGCAGGACAGGATCGGCTCTGGCATCCCGGGCCTCCCTCTTGGGCTTGTGGTGTTGCTCTGTGTCACGTGGCACTCCTGTTTTCACTGGACCTCGGCCTGTCTGTGTTCAGATTTCCTTAAATAAGGACACCCGTCATTGGATTGAAACCCTCTGGTGACCTCATTTTGACTTGATTACCTCTGTAAAGACCTTCACATAAGCTCACTGAGATTCTGGAAGCTAGGATTTAAACATATGATTTTGGAGAGGGACACAGACGCATGTGTTCAGTATTTTAGATTCAGGTGGGTTTTTTTGCAGAAATATTTGAACTATAAAAGGAAATATTTCTTCCATGATATTAACTGGATCATATTGATAGTAATAAATTCATGACCACAATGTCCACTAAGAAGAAGCAACTTGCATAACCATACTAGATCTATTAAACAGAAAATGTACACATTTTCTTTGACTACAAAGAGTAGAAAAAAAGAACCACACCTAGAGGGAAACCATGGAATAAAAAGAAATTTGTTCTTCAAAGATAGGCTCTGGTGAAAATTGGGCACTTACTCTGCTCTGCAAGAAAATTCAGAGAAAGTGGTTAAATATGCATGGATAGAGGGAAAGTTGATTATCCACAAGTGACTGGTATAATAAATACAATCATTTTATCTTGGACATAAAATACATAGCCATCACATTTTGAATGAATTTTCTACTCAGAATTGATATAAATGATTGGGTATAGTTAAAATACCATATAATCAAGGATAGTTAAAACAACATTTGGTTTTAAGAGTTAAAATGCCTTAAAAGTTATGTTAATATTCGTAATATATCAGGTATGACATTTCTATAGAAATGAGGATCTCGGTTCTTTAAGGAAAATCGGGCACAAAATTCATTTGCAAATTCAGAACTTCCTCTAAATCAAAGGAGCATAGAATTTAGGATTGGAATTTGATCAAGATAGCGGAGCACATGTTTGTCTAGTTTTTCCTTTGGCGACAGTGTGGGGATTTGGTCCCCTGGATTTAGACTTTAGTTGAACATTAGCATTGCACCTCTGGAGACTAAACAAAAGAGGCAGGTGGTGGGCTGCAGGCTCTGGAGAAATGAGAGGAAAGGCAGCAGGAGGGATAGAAATTGGCTTCCCCTGGTCAAGTTTATAGATTTCTCTTTCTGGAGCTGAAGTATCCAAAAATTAAAATACGACTGTCTGAATTTTGAGACTTAGTTAAATCCTGACTTGGGGACAGGATGCAGTTACTTAGCAAGCCACCTAGGTGTTTTTGTTTTTTCCTTTCTTTTCTAGAAAGAAAACATTGCGAAGGCTGTGAGAGGGAGAAGGCAAATAGAAGCAATGGAAAGTGAAAAAAAGGGAAAAGAAGTGTATTTAATGAGAAATCCCACTTTAAATCTTCCCACATTAGTATGGCAAATAAAAATGAACATGATGTAAAACACATGTCCAGGGAAAACTGAGAAGTAAATCCATCTAGATTGTCTCATGTTGGCAGGTACTGGCACGTAACCAGCCCCAAATCTGGAGGAATGAATAAATCTCTGTGTTTCGTGTTGACACTTAACTTTATTCTCAAGTTCTTTCCTTTTATAATGACCAAATATCAATACTGGGAAGTTCACACTAGAAAAATGTTCTCTACAAAACACTGAATATTGTCATACATATATTACTCATCAGCATATTGCTTTGATATAGTGAAAGGATACTATCATTAAGTGATTAAGAAAACCCTTATATCACCTTCCCTTTTTTTTAAGAAGGGGTCTTGCTGTGTAGTTCAGACTGGTCTTGAACTAACTGTGTAGCTCAGGCTGCCTTCAAACTCAAGGCAATCCTCCTTCCCCAGTCTCCTACGTCCTAGGATTGCAGGCATGCACCACGAAGCCCTGGCCCACCTTTTTTATGGTAAGAGTGCCTGCTGGGTATGGTGGCACACATCTTTAATCTGAGCACTCAGGAGGCTGAGGCACGAGAATCATTTCTAGAGGCCAGCCTGAACTGTGTGGCAAGACCCCATCTCAAAAACAAACAAACAAAAAAAAGCAAATAGTGCCTAACATCTACTCTCAACAGATTTTCAGTATGCAGTACTATTAGATTTATGAACTATTGCTATTTTCTCTTCCTCTCCATCCCTGGTCACTGATTATATTGTTCCTATGTATTCAACAATTTTTGACTGAACATACAAATAATATCATGTAGTATTTTTCTTTCAATATCTAGCTTAATTTCTCTTAGTATAATGCCCTTCAAGCTTATATGTGTTGTTGGAAATGGCAATATTTGCTTTCTTTTGAGGATGAATAATAGTCCTATTGTATATACGCATAAATTCCCAAATTTTTCATCTGTTGATACACAGGTTGTTTCTATATCTTGATTATTGTGAATAATGAATCAGTAAATGTAGACATGAAGATAATCTTTGTAAGACAATGATTTTACTCTTTCATTTGGTTATACAAATATTTGTGTGATAGCTGATCATACTATGTGCTAGCTTTCTCTTTTTTGAGATACCTCCATGGGATTTTTCACAATGACTGTGTCAATTTCCATTCCAAAGAGTTCTGTGAGTTTTTTATTTTGAGAATCACTTCTCACACCTGGTTTACAAATATTCCCTTCCAGTTTCTAGGCTGACTTTTGATTGTTGATTTTTTTTTTTCCTTTACTGTGCAAAAGCTTTTTAGTTTGATGTAGCCCCATTTTTATTCTTTTCTTTTGTGCCAAGCTTTTGGTGTGAGATCAAAAAACAAAACACATTGCTGAGGCCAGTATCAAAGAGCATTTCCTCTATGTTTTTCTTCTAGGAGCTTTACTGTTTCAGGTCTTTAGGCTTAGAGTTTATTTTTATGCATGGTGTAAGATAACAATGCAGTTTTATTCTCTTGCATATGGATACCCAGTTTTTTGGTCCATTCATTGACAAGATTATCATTCCTCCATTATATCTTCTTGGTGACCCAGAAGACCAAAAATCCAAATGTGTTTGGACTTATTTCTGGGCTGTGTTCTGTGAGTGTGATGCCCCTAACTTTGTTTTCTTTCTCAAATTGTTTTGGCTATTCTGGGTCTTTAATAGTTCCATATAAATTTTAAAATATTTTTCCTATTTCTGTGAAAAGTGACAGGGATTTTGATAAAGATTGTGTTGAATCTGTACATTGCTTTGGGTAGTGTGGACATTTTAACAAAATTAACTCTTCCAACCTATAGAGAACATGGGCTTTCTTGCTGTTTATTTGTGTAATTTTCAATTTCTTTCAGCAATGTTTATAGCTTTCAGTATATAAATCTTTCAATTTCTTGGCTAAATTTATTCTGAAGTACATAATTTTTAATGCTATCAAAAATAAGGGTTTTTGTTTTTTTTTTCAGGTAGATTATTGCTAATGTAAAGAAATGCAGCTGATTAAAAAACTGAAAATCTTAGGCTGGAGCCCATACTGTCTTGTTGACACTAATACATGGGCCATAATTAGTATGCATTTAATAAACTATGGAATAAATGAATGTATAAATATTGTTAATGTTTTTAAATAATAAGGTTATCAAAATTAAATTACATATAATTCAAAAGTGGGTAACAAAAGCATTATGAGTTTTTATATAAAACCTGATTGTTCTGCCCAATGTAGTGGCACATGCCTATAATCCTAGCACTTGGGGGGCTGAGACAAGTGGATTGCTATTACTTCAAGGCAGCCTGGATTAGGTAGTGAGTTCAAGTCCAGCCTGGAGTACATAGCAAAACTCTCAAAAAACAAAAATTCTGTTTGCTCTGAAATAAAGGTAAGCAACTCTACTAGTAAGCTATGCTCAATAAAGAAACAATACGGATATCTGTGTTTGTGCATTTATGTCCCACATGCATATTTCTGCTATGCTACAAAGGTAGAATCTCTACTCTTGAATTTTTTTTTGCTTTGTTTTGGAACAGGGTCTTGTTATGTAGTTCAGGCTGGCCTTGAACTCACTATGTAGCCCAGGCTGGCCTCCAACTCTCAGCAGTCTTCCTACCTTAGCCTCCCAAGTGCTGGGATTACAGGTGTGCAACATCACACTTGGCTTATAGAAACTTTTAAATTGTTATATTTGACTATCCTTATTATGAAAATACTCTTTAAATCTCATTATCTTTATCTTCCTATGTATCTGTAAAAGACTGAGGATCTCTTTTCCTCAAAATGTTTTAACTAATGAAGAATAAACCTATGTTGAGAATTATATTATCTACTAAGTCTGTGATTAGATAATTTAAAATGTGCCCTACAACTTATATTTCTTTAATTTTTTGTAACATGTTCACAGGTGTCACAGCCATGTCTGATTTCTGTAATTCACACAGAATATAGATGCAAGGTATATGGGTGAACACAAGGATTTTCAGAATTCTGTCCAAAATCAGATTTGTCAAATCCTTATATTATTTTGCTGTCAGGTATATACATGAACAGAAATCTGTGTGTGCCTGTGTTTTAATTACCTTATGCACTGGCTCTGAATGAATAAATTACATGATTACATCCTACATTGGACACAGAACAGTGCAAGTTATATTAAAAAGCCATTATATTTGCAACTCTGAGCAAGAGACTATAATTAAAAGGCAATTGGATGAAATTAGCTTTAAGAGTACAAGAGTTTAAGCAAGATTTGGTAAATGAACATTAATGGTTAACATGTGGCTTTTATTAGGTCTTGCTTTTTTTCTCTCTGACCCAGAGTTAAATTTCCTAGATATCAGTGACTAACTTGTAGAACACCTGTACAGACCTGTGCTTTACCATATGGCTGAAGTTACATCCTTAAAACAAGCCAACATAATTTTTGTGACTTCAGTAAATCACAGGTATTAGGTGGGTTATAATGATACCCTAGGTATTAATAAACTATTCCTAGTGCTCCTAAGATCTCAGTTGTATGTCATAAAAAGCATAGTACATGCTCCCTACAACTCAAAATGCTGGTCATAAAATTCACATATACAAAGCAAAGAAGTAATAAAGTGAGAATTTTGATTATCACCATTAAACATAAAAAAGTTGTACACAATGTATATAATAGCACTTTATTTGTATCTAAGGAAAGCCATTGCCTACTGTAAGGACTCAGCATGTTAATGATATTTTTGAGGAAAAATTATGAGCTTACCAAGTATATATACATAATAGATGCTATGCTTTTGGCATATTAAAGGTGAGTATAAATTATTTGTTATTCCCTTAAGAGTTGGAGTCTCTGAATGTATTAACTAGCTTAAATTTAGTTTTTTGTTTTTTTAGATTTTTTTTTTTTTTTTTTGTACTGGGGATCGAACTCGAGTCCTTGTGCTTGCAAGGCAGGCAGTGGAACCACTGAGCTAATAACTGGTCCTCACCTATCTTAATTAATCTTGTATTTATGGATTATAAAATTTTGTACCCCATAAATTTGTAATTGTTAATTTGCAATTAAAAAGTTGAGGAATGGATCTATTGCCCTTTCTTGGGGGTGACTGGATTGGGTTGCAATTGCGTTGACTAAGTAGCCATGCCAATTCCAGCCTAGATTTTAAGAGCCATGATAGCTACTACCTTTTAAGAGTATGACTATGCTACGACCACCTTCCTTGGCAAAATCCAAGCCACACAAACAGGCCCGATAGGATAAGAAAGCAAGGACAAAGAGGAGCGAGGTGACAGCGATGAGTGAAGGAGCCTTTTGGAAAGGACGTCTGTCCCCAGTCACTGCAGGCAGTGCCACATGAATTGGACACAAACTGCTTGAACGGGCTGTTCTGACCCTTAAACTGATGAACAACATAAAATGATTGCTTAAATGCTGCAATCAGTTTGTTTTGCAGCAACAGATAATGAACAAGCTGCACTTGGGATTTATTTGAGTGTTGTAGTCTGTATGTATGTGCGTACACCTGTCTGTGTACATACACAGGTATAGACATAGGTTTTTCATAAAGCGACATCTAAATTGACAAGGAAGTCCTCACTTACCGTATAGGTTGCCTGCACAGCCACAGGCGCCACATCCAGATGCAACCAACTGAGCTCAGCAGTATAGTTAGACCGATGATGGCTGTGTTTGTGCTATGTACAAACTTAACAGTGTCAATGCTTTACTAAATAGTTATCATACTACAGTGTCTAGGGGGAAATGACAAGCAAAATAGTCAATGCAGATGCAATTTAAAAAATGTTTCCTAGGCATGGTGGCACACACCTGTAATCCCAGCACTCAGGAGACCAAGGCAGGAGAATCAGAAGTTGGAAGCCAACCTGGACTATGTAGTACCATCAGAACCATCCTGGGCTACATAATGAGATCCTGTCTGTAAAAAATTGAATAAAAAATATTTTCAGTCTGAGGTTAGTTGAATCTACAGACCCAGAACCCATAGACATGGAATGTCTATAAATTCAACTGTATGTTAATTTATCTGCAGGGTCTTACACAGTAAAGTAGTGAGATCCCTCTTCATAGACCAGCTAGCTGATCTACTTGTTGGGATAGTGAAGGAAACTGCAGCTGCCTTTAGTAAGACTAAAACCTATTTGTAAAGGTTAGAGAAGGGAAATCCCTGACTTGGGAGGAAGAATTTCTTTCTCTTCACAGAAATAGTTCCATTATCCTGGGCAGGTCCCCTGTTCCTTGGAGGAATCCCATGAATTACTGCCCCCACTACTGCTGTCTTTCAAGGGTCAATGCTCCACTTTAACACCCTGACCCCAGCCAGAGTACGTAGCTCTTCCTTTACTACTCAGCAATAAAATGGACATGAAGCTGGACCATTGAAAGATCCTA